GCTTTGGTAAAGAGATAAACTATAACGCCTCCTACGCACTGTATAGTATTGTGACATGAAGCCTGAAAGCCAAAATAGACGTTCATAGCTAGGCAACGATTATGTAAACAGGTTCCCGCGGCAAGGAGCAAGGTAGCAACAATCGACGTATTGTTGAGCCATAACGATGAAAACGTGTTTTCTGTTGGATCCGCCCCGAAGCTATATAACAAGGATCACAGGAGAGCTGAAATCCCCGTGTGGAGGCGGGTTCGAATACCTTCACCGTGGCCCTGCAAGTCGTAGGAGTCGACGAAAAGGGAAGCCTCAAATTTGAGACAGTAATATATGGTCTCGAGTACCAAGGGACTCGGACCTCTCGTCAGAGAGGACGCCCACAAAAAAAAAAACCGTAATTCTCAGACAGTAATAAAGATCTGGTTAAAAGCCCCAGATGGGTGCTTTACGCCAAGATAGACCGGCCAACTGACCGTCGGTCGTAAAATCAGACTCAGACTAAGTTGAAATAATAATTGAGGGAGTATCTTCATACGGCATTCGAAGTTGATTGAGACGAGATGGAAACCAGTTCAATTGAGACTTGAAGATCAGCCTATGAAGAGAAGACTGCAGTTACAGAGATATTGGTAAAATTACTGCGTTGAAATCCGTTTCCAGGATACGACTAGTGAGAACTACGAACCCTAGTGGGTGTGTAACGGTGAACTGTAAAGCGTGCACATCAGCGAAAGCGACGTATTACTTGTGGTAATACATCCAATCATCGAATCCAAACCCCGTTAATAGTCATTAATACACGTGGCAGTACAAAATATTTAAAATATGATGGTACAAATAGTTTCAGTTATGTCCGACAAATTTAAGTACACAGAATCCGTGGTAAGTTCTTCATAAACACAAAATAATATAACAGTAACAGCAGCAGACAATAAAGATGAGACCAGAAATCTATAAACATTTGCAAAAATAAAATATAAAACTATCGCTGTGCTTAATAAGGACATATTGGCGAATATAAGCTCCACACATTTTCAACCTCGGCAATGTACAGTGAGTTTACTACGAGGTACACATCTACTTGAAGAGATTTTTCGTTACAGAATGGCTTGACTTAACCGAAGAATTCCTATGCCCGACTGATCACTCGGAAAGGAAGTTCAGCTACGGGCAGGCCGACCGGGGGTTCGATTCCCGGCAGGGGCTAACATTTTTTTCTCTAATCCACAACGTCCAAATCGGCTCTGGAGCCCACCCAATTGGTACTGGTGGCGACAGGGCGTGACGCTGACCTTCCATCTCCACCTAACGCCGAGGTCAACAATAGTGGAGCTATAACTCCATTCTCCTATATTCTTCCATGGAATAATATATTTTTTATTGCTGGTGGGGTGGGACTAAGTCTCTTGTACTGCGGCCACTTCTGGCCTATTGTACCAGCCCCAGATGATAAGTGAGGATTATTGTGGAGCAATTGGTGGAATGAAGATTGGCAGGGGAAACCGAAGTACTCGGAGAAAACCTGCCCCAACGCCACTTTGTCCACCACAAATCCCACTTGACCAGACCCGAGATCGAACCCGGGCCGCCGCGATGGGAAGTCAGCGACTAACCACTTGAGCTATGGCGCGGCTATGGCATAATATTTAGTTATTTAAGGAGGTTTTTAGTAACTGACGAGTTCAAAGCTCTGCGCTTCATGGCGGCCTGCGCGCCTCCTGCTGCAAGGTGCATACGAATTTTGCCAATGAATCAACCGAAAACATTTGGAATGAAGGGAAGTAATTAACTTGTAGACCGCTTTATGGTGTTATGTTTCACGGCAAGTAGTGCGCTCCATGTGTGAGAGTTTGTTTATGATTTGTCAGCAATAGGCAGCAGTTATCAGCTCCATTGGCCATATGTTCTCAGTTACAGTTTTTGAGCGTCGTGGTGCTGTATACTCCAGAAAAAAAGTGTATTTCTATATTGTAACGTGGATGGCCAGAGCGTTCCTAGGTAACGGGCCGGCAAACACACGCGATACACACTCGCAACAATGGAAAGAGGTTAGGCAACCACTTCTAAACAGTACTATCACGTGACTTGTTTACTGTGTTGTCCGTGTGGTGCATATATAACGAATTTTCTGTTTAAGTATCAAATCAAATCTACCCCGTGTGGAGGCGGCGTCGAATACCTCCACCGTGACCCCACGAGTCGTAGGAGGCGATGAAAAGGGAAGTCTCAAATCTGAGACAGTAAAATATGGTCTCGAGTCCCAAGGGACTCAGACCCGAGAAAGACTGCACTGGCAAGGGCCAGCAGCACATACAAAAGGCAGACCCGTCCTCTCGTCAGAGAGGGCGCCCCACAGAAACAAGACCGTAACTGTTAAAGGTAATAAATATTTGGTCATGAGCCCAGATGGGGCTCGACACCGAGAATTACTGATTGAGTGACCGTCAGTCGTAATGTGACTTTGACTTTAGTATCAAATTTAAGACAGTAAAATATGGTCGCGAGTACCAAGGGAATCGGACCTGAGAAAGACTGCGCTGGCAAGGACCAGCAGCATATACAAAAGACAGACCCGTTCTCTCATCAGAGAGGGCGCCCCATAGAAACAAGACCATAACTGTCAAACAGTAATAAATATTTGGTCATGAGCTCCAGATAAGGCTCGGAACCAAGACTTACTGAATGACCGTCAGTCGCAATGTGACTTGGACTTGGTGGTCCCACACCCCGTGTGAAGGCGGGATCGAATTCCTCCACCGTGATCCTGTAAGTCGTAGGAGGCGACGAAAAGGGAAGTCTCAAATCTGAGACAGTAAAATATGGTCGCGAGTCCCGAGGGACTCGGACTCGAGAAAAACCGCGCTGGCAAGGACAAGCAGCATATGCAAAAGACAGACCCGTCCTCTCGTTAGAGAGAGCGCCTGCAAAAATAAGACCGCAACTGTCAAACGGTAATAATTAATATCTGGTCATGATCCCCAGATGGGGCTCGACACCAAGACTGATTGATTGACTGACCCGTCAGTCGCAATATGACTTTGACTTTTGTGGTCCCGCCCGTGTGGAGGCGGGGTCGTAGGAGGCGACAAAAAGGAAGTCTCAAATCTGAGACAGTAATATATGGTCGCGAATACCAAGGGACTTGGATCTGAGAAAGACTGCGCTGACAAGGACCAGCAGCATACACAAAACAGACCCGTTTTCTCGTCAGAGAGGGCGTCCCACAAAAACAAGACCATAACTGTCCAACAGTAACAAATATCTGGTCACGAGCCCCTAGTGGGGCTCGACACACGAGACTTGCTGACTGACTGACCGTCAGTCACAATGTGACTTTGACTTTGGTAGAGTCAGAGAGTGTGTGGAGAGTTCGGGAGAGCTCAAGACAATGGAGAGGACTAACGTGTGTGTGTGTGTGTGTGTGTGTGTCACAGTGAAATATGAAGTGTGTGTAAATCAGCGATAGCGCTGTAATTTAAGTGGATTAAGAGAGATTATAACCAAGGTGCTAATAAATCAAACCATCCGAACTTGAACCCGAAATTTTTGTCGTGCGTATCACCCTACAAGTGACAATTTGGTGAAATACGGATCTGCTTGAAAGTGTCACCGAAAATTTCGTCATGAAAGAGTTCCAAGCCAACAAACAATCAATAGTTTCGTGAATACACTTAGAACAACGGGACTCTTTATAGGCAAGATTGAACATACACCTAGAGAAATCACTGAAACGTCTAGCTCAAGAGACTGGAATGTCGAAGTCTGCTGCAAGAACGGAAACACAACTGCTGAAGCCATCCAGTGAATGATGGTGTCTGGTGTGCTGTGAGTGCAAGAAGGATTACTGTGCCTGTGCATTTTAATGGAACAATTAATTGCGAAAAATATCTAAATGTAGAGACGACAGCATTTTCAACACTTCCTGTGATCTGTGAATTGTAACTACTTCATTCCAAACACTATCCCCAGTCAGGCATGCTGATTCATCGGCAAAATTCGCAAGCGCCTTGCAGCAAGTAGCGCACCGGTTGTCGTGAAACGCAGAGCCGTGAACTCGTCCAGTTACTAAAAAACCTCCCTGTATAATTAAGTACAGGAATATATTTACGTTTATCCATGTATACCTGCATAAATTGGCACACAGAATTTTCTTCCTATTGGAAGGTATACAAACGAATGCACGACGTATCAAAGACGATGGGGAAAAATGTTTTTTTTTTTTTTCATTATCTTCAGCCCCTTCCGTCCTATTTCACTGAAACCTCTTCTATTTGTTCTTCCTGTCATTTTTCTCCCCTTCCAGCGCCTCTCCTTCACGTTAAATCTTACCCTCAGCCCCTTTCTTCCGTTTCTCTTTTCCATTCTTGCCTTTACCTGTTTCCCCTTTTTGTCCTTATTCTTCTCCCATCCCTTACATTTGCACATCAGTGCGTTATTCCTTTCCCTGCATCCATCTTGCTTTCCAACGGTCGACAACACTAACACCTGACAGCAGAAATGATGCACGATATAAATCTCTTTTTACCGAACCTGAACGTGTTGGTATTTGTTGCGCTTTAAGACGCGCCTTTTTTTATATATGAAATTAGATCCGAATCAATAAAGCACAAACTTCTGTTCATTTAACGGCACCGTTAGTATCCAAAATTATCATCGACTGAAGACCCGACTGGAAAGGAGGGCTTGTGCAGATACGATTCCTGGAGGGTCTCAGGAAAACCACGAAAAATCTGAGTCAAAACAACCACTATCCCGCACGAGATTTAAACCTTGTACCTCCCAAATGAGGGCCTTGGGCATTACTAACACACCAACCACTCGCGTGGTCCGATATTTAAATTCGATTTCTCGTATCACTTTTCATAAAATCCATCAGGTGCTGTGGAAGATGAAACACGCTTACTAAAGGTCGAGTATAAACAGGAACTTAACCGAGCACTGAACTGATATATAGCAAAGTCATGTGCACTTGCGTATTCACTAATCCAAGAGATGACGGTTACCTGTGTGTTGAGACTCACTCGGACACTCGCTGGCCACCACTTCACCTGCCAAGCGGCGTCAGAACACTGTTAGCTACAGCCAGCACGGATCAACACAGCTATTATAGTGGCTGCTAGTACAGAGGAGCGGCCTATACACCTGCCTTCCCCATTTGCAAGAGGAGGGGATCGACCGTTTACAGCGCATGAGAATTCTGTCAAACAAGCGAACGACTGACACCTCAAAATTAAATCGTGTGAATATCTAAGTCCCTTCCCAATTACGCGGAACTTATTCTTAATGTCAGCCGCATGGAAATACGGACATGTTTCTTGAGAAGACACGTGGTCCGCATGCAAGTAAAGCTACGTGCTTAATTAATTACGCAAAGCGTCACGAGGATGCATGAAAAAAGCAGGCACAGATCTGTTATTCTTAATCTCGACACCAGATGGAGGCGAGTGGTCAGTTTCTCGCCTCGCCTCTTTATCCCCGGGGGACAGGCCCCATTGTTTAAGGGGGTTATGTTGGTTTCAGAGCAGGTCTGGTGGCTGTGGGAAAAGTAATAATTCTTGCTCTTCCTGGGAATCGAATCCCGAATCCTCGACCATCCAGTTCTTAGTTTTGCCCCTTTACCGAATGAGCTGTCTCGGTTCCTTAGTACTGATATAGACCTTCGTAAACGGGATTTTGGGGCGCAATCCCTGAAAAGGAGGAGCCTGGATAGCGCAGTTGATACAGATACTGGCTACGGGCTGGATGACCCAGGGGTTGGAGTTCCAGTCCTGGTAGGGTCAAGAATTTTCTCTTCTTCACGTCGTCCATACCGGCTCTGGGGTCCACGCAACCTCCTACCCAATGGGAGTAAAGCCGCCGGGGCGTGAAGCTAACCACTCACTTACAGCTAGTGCCGAGTTCAAGAAAATGTGGATCTATACATCCGCTCCTCCACACGCCTTGATGGCATAGTTAAGCACAGGGACAACTTTACTTATATCCCTGACTGAGAAACAGAAACATATAGGATAGCATTAACAGTACATCATGGTGAAATCCTAAATTCAGAGGTAACCCCAAGCTCATCATTTGGGGGTTTTCATTATAATTGTCGGTTAAATACGTCTAATCCGATGATTTACCGTATTTACGCATGTATAGGCCGCGTGCGTGTATAGGCCGCAGCACAATTTTCAGACAGAAATTATAGAAAAAATAATTTTCTTGGAATATTATTTCAGGAGTAGAACACCCTGTATTACTAATTATGAATATAATTTTTTTAAATGAAGTGTGATTTCGAATATTTCGAATATAAGCCGCACCCCAGTTTTCCTCTTGAATTTTTGGCAAAAAATGTGCGGCCTATACATGCGTAAATACGGTAATTTTAATCATAGATTTATAACCGTAACGTAGTGTGGCATATTTGTTGAAAGCAAGAACTATGGAACCAGAGAAATAACCGCTGCCTGCGAACTGCTCTGAAACAACATTCGTTTCTAGACAACGGCCAGAGCATCTTATTCTAATAAGCAACAACTGAGCAACATATAAGAACACAACGATGTTACAGCAATAGAGGAACGGTGTTTTTTGCGTCGTCCTTTTAACTGGCACTGTTTTGAGCTAAGAGTTCAGTGCTCAGATTAAAGTCGGGCTGTGAAGAGAAGACTCAGTTACAGCAAGAGTAGGCCGCGCCATAGCTCATCCGGTTAGTTGTTGGCTTCCCACCTCGGCGGCCCGGGTTCGATCCAGGGTCTGGTGAAGTGGGATTTGTAGTGGACAAAGTGGCGCTGGGACAGGTTTCCGAGTACTTCGGTTTCCCCTGCCAATCTTCATTCCACCAATTGCTCCACAATCACCCTCACCTATCATCTGGGGCTGGTACAATAGGCCAGAAGTGGCCGGAGTACAAGGGACTTAGTCCCACCCCACTAGCAATAAAAAAAAAATACAGCAAGAGTACAGATGGTAAGGACATAATCGGACAGTATAAAAATCCGTTACCAGGAAACATCTAGTGAAAACAGAAGACTTTATGTGTACTGTAGTTAGAGCGATATTTGGAGTGTGTAATTCCGTGACTTATAGCTATTTGTAGTTACGGCCTGTAAATGGTAATATGGGGCACGCGGTAGCATAGTTGGTTGAGACACTATGCTACAAGCCGTAAGGACGCGGGTTCGATACCAGATGATAGGATTTTTCACTTGACCTAATCCTTCCAGCTGCACTATGGCTCTGGGGTAGACTCAGCTACTAACAAAAATGAGTACCAAGAATCCTTCTGGGGGGGGGGGTTCAACAGCGGCCGGAGCGTAAAGCTGACAATCTCACCACCATTTGTGAGCTGATTGTCCAGAACATGTAGGAGCCTCGACGTCTCACAACCCTATGGGCCCCCACGGCCTCTTACAGGGATAGCTTCACCTTTTTGTTAAGTGGTCAATAAATCCAGTCTCAAATCCAAAACCACGTCAACTGACTCATACACCTGACAATACTTTGATATGAAGCAAAACAAAGAAGCAATCATGCACGCATTCATATTTTTATTATTTCGCGTCACAATTTTTCTACATAGACCCCAATTTGTACTTCAATTCTAGCCTGTACCCTGCAAAATCTGATTAGACAAAGCTAAAATTCGTGTTTTCTTCATGTACTGTGTACATTTTATACAACTGTGTTCACTTTTACGGGTTAAATTTAATTTCTAATGAAGCTTTTGTGAACGTATATAGAGGATTCGCTGGTGCATTTATAACAGCTCATCTGGTATTTTCTTGCCTCTGCAAGCAAATCGTATCCATTGTATATGGTATTTCGCTTATGCAGATATCTTCCTGTAGCCTCTATGTTCAGTATTCAGTATTGAGGGGGTGGGTTTCCCCATGCACTTAGACCAGTTATTGGTCCATTGTGCGTCCCCCCCGCCCCTTTTAATTTCTACTGTCTCCATACCCTACCAGTACTGGTGCTAGCTATTAGCCCCTTTCTGATCCTCTATATTAGTAAGGATACCTTTCTCTGTGTGTATCTGCTTCTTGCTGATTTCTCACTCTTAGACGCTCAAGATGGAGGCAGTACGTTCAGCGGGAACGTTTGTAAACTAACGGATACGCTGCGTTATATCTGAGAAGACACTAATCTTCAGTCACCGCTATGGGAACCTCAAACCCAGCAACTCAGTATGGGCTTCACTCACATAAATAATCGTCTGATGAAACATTTCGAATATCTCACGATATACACGTATCTTCTGACTAGGGAAATAGACTATAAAAAATGTTCTGAAGGAACGGTCTATATGCAGTCTCCATGTACACCTCTCCTCGAAGATTACACCGACGGATTTCCATGGTTCACGAAAGGAGTATTCTGTCCGTTCAGTGTGAGATGAACCACAGGCGGTCTAACTCTATGAAAGAAGAAGACCCGAGTTTTATCATTGATTTTAATACCCGATCGCTCACACCACATCTCAATTGAAGTGAAATCGCGATGCAGCGTTCTGAAAACATAACACTCTTTGCGATCTGCGGCATACACACAAGCACCATCGGTAAAGAGGGTCGCAACAAAGTCAGGTCAAAGACACGTTAGGATCGACGGTCACTCGTCCAGTCAGTCTTGGTGTCAAGCTCTAACTGGGGCCAAAAACCAGATTTTTGGATCTGTAAGACACTTGCAGTTTTTACAATATGGGGCCCCCTATCTGATGAGAGGACGGGTGCTTCATTTACCGCGATCAAAATCAGTAGTACACTCACCTATACTTATGATTTTACATGTTGGCATTTTACATATTCTAGAAGTCCGGATCCTCGTAGATACCTACGACTTACAGTTTTACTAGAGTTACAAGTAAAACTGTAAATTGTAGGTATCCATAAGGAACCGGACTCTCAGAATGTGTAGACTGCGTCACAATGTATATAGTGACGCATCACCACTGCTATGCAACGCATCGATAAATACGTTCCAGCGGAGACAGGTTCTTGGTAAACAGCCGTTGATGGGTAATGTTACAACAATACGCGACAATAAAGGACATCCAGTGCTGGGTATCGGACCGATAAACATGAGGCTATAACAATACGCGACAAGAACGACAGGTGTTTTCTATGTGGTCGGCGCCGACTCTTTGCTTGGCAACTGCGTTGTAACATGTCTCTGCA